GCCGTAAGGGCAAATACGCAATTTGTTGGTTCACATAGGCGGCCATGCAGGCGGTTACGAACTAACTGACGACGTAGAGTAGCCGGTGGTATTTTAATTATTCAACTATTTCTCCACGTTTATAACTAACTGATAGCCTAATGGTCTTTGAATTTATTAAATCTCTAACTTCTTGCATTCCACACTTTTGTGCGGCTGTAAGGTTAGAGATATATCTACTATTGCGATAGTGATTGAGAGTGTTGAGAACGCCGTCCTGTTGAACATGTGCAATTTTGTGCGCAAAACCCAAATATTCCTAGGGCGTCTACGTAACACGTCTCCTAATAACGTGTACGTGATGGAGTTTTTCGACGTTACCGCGCTGTACACCAACGTGTCGAATGACTCCGCAATGCAAGCCATCTTCGAATTTCTTGTTGAACATGAAGGAAGAATAGATATGCATGGTTTGTCCATCCAGCAGCTCATGGCTCCCTTAAAGGAGTGAAGGAGTGCCTAAACTGCTCGATTTTCAGATGGTCTTGGAAATATTTCGCGCAAATAAGGGGGTTGGCAGTGGGACAGCGACTGGCACCAAGCCTTGCCACTGTTTTTATGTCTAAGATAGAAGCCACTGTTCTCGATCTCCGGTCACTACTGCAGATATGTAGATGATTGTTTTGTCGTCTTCTCTACGCAGGAGGAGATGGACAAATGCTTCGAATTATTGAACGTGCAGTCTGAGGATATTAAGTTCACCCGGGAGAAACCGAGAGAAAACTGGCTTCCGTTTTTAAACGTTCAAATAAACCTATCAAGTAGCGGTTACATGACAAAGTGGTACCGAAAACCAAATAACAGAAACATCCTCGTTCATTTCCTTTCTTCCCACCCTTCACACACAAAGAGGACGCTTGTGAGAAACATGTTTCGAACAGCCATCTCTGCGTGCACAAGTAGGGAACTAAAGGAAGAATCGCGCAACTTGGCTCGCGAAATAGCCATCTTCAGTGGCTACGAAATAGTAACCCCATGAGATAAGATTAGAAGGAAAGCGACGCCCCAAAATGAACGGTTTGCGCGGAACAAAATCTCGTTTGGCTTGCCCTCCATAAACGATGAAATAAGTGTAGCGATAAAGCGATGCTTGAGAAGGGCAGATCTAAAGGAATCGGTAACGATAGTTGAAATACCACTGGATACTCTACGTCGTCAGTTAGTTCCTGTATGACCGTCCATGTGAAACACCGATTTGCGTAATTTGCCCTTACAGCAGAGACGGTGACTCCATGAGTTCAGCTGCGATATACCTGATCTTTTATAATGATTGCCATTGCATTTATGTCTAAGGTGGTAGCACCGGTGACTGATCTCGGGCCGCTACTCTACTGTAGGTATGTAGACGACTGCTTTGTCCTTTGCTCAACACAAGAGGAAATGGACAAATGTTTTGAATTGCTAAACGCACAGTCAGAGTATATCAAGTTCACCCGAGAAAAGCCGAAAGAAAAATGGCTTCCATTTTTGAACGTACAAATCCACCTATCAGAAAATGGCTACATTACGAAGTGGTACCGAAAGCCAAGTAGTAAAAACAGCTTGGTTCATTACCTCTCCTCTCACCCCTCTCACACGAAAAGGGCGCTTATAAGAAATATGTTTCGAACAGCAACCAACGTGTGCACGGGAAGAGAGCAGAGAGAGGAGTCCCGGAACTTGGCACGGCAAATACCCATTTCTAATGGCGAAACTGTAGCTCAGGATAGGTGTAGAGGAAATCGTAGGCCTCCAAACGACAACTCTAGCGATAGAAGGGTCCCGTTTATCCTACCCTTCATCTCAAATGATATAAGTACAGTTATAAAACGCTGCTTAAGAAGGGAGGGTTTAGAGAATTCGGTAAGCGTAGTTGAAATACCACCGAGTAATCTTAAGCGCCAGCTAGTTCGTAACCGCCTATATGACCGTCTATGTGCAACTCAAAATTGCATAATTTGCCCCATTGGTAGAGACGGTGATTGCATGAGCTCGGGTATAGTTTATCTGATCTCCTGTAAGACGTGTGGGGACGAATACATTGGCGAAACGGGTAGACCCCTCTGTGTCCGCATGAAAGAACACCTAGCCGGCAAAAATAGACCAAATACCCCGCTAGGCACGCATAGGACGCAGAGAGATAACGGAGAAGATTTTGAAGTACGTGTCGCGAACCGCGCACAGGAATCGAGAACACAAGCGCGCAAAACTCTAGAGGCATTCTGGATTAATTCGAGAAATCCAAAAATGAACCGCAGGGAAGAATGCCTCATTATCACGCGTGATATAGGGCGGTATATAAGACTGCTATTCTGATGGGAGGGGCACATTATGCTTCCATGTGATTTCTGTGCGGTTGGTCTCTACGTGACATACTTAGTGGAAACCTCATAGGAAGCGGTGAGTGTGCGAAGCTGTGTTCAAAGTGATTGAAATCTTGGTTTAGAGTTTCTTTGTTTGGTTATGGAGGCGTCTGGCCGAGTGAGTTGCTATCAACTTGACCTTTCCAGGCTCTGAAGAAGGCGAAATCCGCTGAAACGTCAGCTTATTCTTGAATAAAGAATAATAACACCTCGCGTTTGCTCAACAAAAATAGGAAGAATTACATAGCGAAGATTTTGATGTAAAAGTCGCTATCATCACACCGAAGACTAAAACACCGACGCGCAAATTTCTCGAGATTTTCTGGATAAATTCCAAAAATCCGAGAACGAATAGCAGGGAAGAATGCCCTGAGATAACGCGTGATCTAGCCTCTTATCTCAGAACTGATTTTTGATGTGCGGTGGTGCAGCAATCAACCATATGCGACCCTAAGCGGTTGTTCTTCCTTAGCGGAAAACATAAAAACGGTGGCTTTTTCGAGGACCTAGTGATTGTATAATTATTGTTCAGATTTCCATCTTTCTGCTTGCGTTGTTGAAGCGCTCGACCTAGCAAATTACATATTAGTGTACCCTTCCAGGCTCTCAAGAAGAATAACCTTGCTGAATAACAACCTCGCGATTGCTGTAGCAAAGAGAACAACAGATTTAAACAAATGCAGTTATCATATCGAATAAGTATGTCGTGCGTTTTGAAGAGTATAACGGTGAATATGGACGGTTAATTGCTTTACTACGTCATTTTATTGAACTTAGCGCTTCGCCGTTCTGTCAATGCTCTATCGCCGACGATAGTGAGAGATTGTTTTAACAGCAATATGCAGCTGGGTCTTCACTCTCATTTCACAAGCATATCCAAGCATCCAGCTGGAAACCCCCGTTCAAAAATTCAGTTAAAAGTAAACCTACGTCAGAGATTGTCGCCGCTCTGGACGACAACTGGTGCCAAATAGGCAAACGCCCTCTAATTCACG